AAAAAAAAAAGAACAAAGGACCAATAAATGTAATGATTAGAAAAATATTGCCATAAATACTATTTTTTCTGGTATTTCTTCTTTTCTTTCTTTCTCTCTCTCTCCCTCTCTCTCTCTTTCCTTTTCTTTTAATTTTTTAAAAATTTTTTTATCAAAACAGTTTAGCAGAATCTATAAAGGTTTACTGCTTACTGCAGTAATTTTTAAGGATAAGCATTATTTGACCACATTTACTATCGGCGGATCGCCATCATCTGTTCGGTTCTAATGAGAAGCTTTGTATCAGCTTTGCAACTTTTTTTCTTTTTTTGAACGAGATAAAGCGGGTTCTTCCATTTGAAAGCAACGGAGGGTAAGGGAAACGAGAGGAAAGGGAATGATAGGAGAGGAAAGGAGAGGCGAGGAGAGGAGAGGAGAGGAGAGGAAAGGAAAGGAAAGGAAAGGAAAGGAAAGGGATCGGGCAGGAAAAGAAATGAATAGTGGAGTAAATGAAAAGGAAATGAGCTGAAAAGGGGTTCATTCAGTTTTGTAATAGTTTTTGGTTGTTATACTGTAATCAATGTATCACCATCGTCTGTTCTGTCCATTAGTTTATAATAACAACAGCAACACTAACGCTGATAGATATCAACGACAGCAGCGCTGACAGAAGCAGCAGTTGTTCTTTCGTCTTTTTTCTTTTAATAATCAGAGGGTTGAACAAAAAAATTTTGTACCAACCGTAGAAGTGAAAAAAAAAGACCAAAGAAGGAGGGAACTAAAAAAGACTTGCAAAAAAAAAAATAAAATAATTCATTTTTTTCCAATTTTTGATGATGATGTTTGACTTTGCTGTTATTGACGTTGGCAACATTGACGCTGATCATCGTCATCATAAAAAATTAAAAAAAAAAGGTGAAAGTTTCTGTTTTTCTTCTATTCTTTTTGTCGAAATCTTTCCTATTCCTCTTCTTTTCTTTCCTCTATATTTAGTCTTTTTTAGTTCAATTTGTTATTGTAAAAGAAACGAAAAAAAGAATGTTTCTTTTTTTGTTCTCATCGTTTCCCTAGAGATTTTCTTTAGACGAACTCTACCCTGTAAAAGAAAAAGGATTGATGGAGAGGGAGGAGTGGAATGGTGAAAAATTAGGATCTGACTGCTTTCATATGCCTCAGTTTTATTTCCTCAACGATTTCTACATGATAGTAACACAAGTTTTAAGTAATATGGAGAACAGGTACAAAATTAAAACTGTAGGCTATATCTCTTGATTGGAAATCGTTTTCTGTTATATCTACAGTTCCAAAAACTGTTCACTTCAATAAGGTAACTAAGGGAACAGTCACAGTGTTCAATTTTTGAATCAACTATGAATAAATATTTTGGTTATAGTTTTTTTATGAACATAATCGCTGTGGACTGAACTCAATGGATAGACTATTGCAGTTCGAAACTGGTGGATTAGGTGGTTTTTTCCTTCACGCGCCACACCTCAAAAACTTAACTTTGTTATCGTCGTTTTCGTGGTAAACAACAACAAAAAAAAAATTTTGAGTTTGCATAGTTTTTTAATAATTGAAGATTGGATCTAAAAAAGTATAAATAATTAAAGAGAGAGGATGAGGCAACGAAAAAAAATAAAAAAAAATAAAAAAATAAAAAAAAATAAAAGGCGACAGTGAAAAAATCCAAGAGAACTCGGTTCAGAAGGACGCCAGAAAAAGAAAAAATAATTAGCAGTTTCGTATGCTGAGCAAATGCATTGCTTTTTCTCCTCCAAAATAATTGGGTTGTAGTAAATGGAGTAATTACTTGAGAACACGCATGAAGGATGGAAAAAAATCTGTGATATTTGGACTTTTATGCAGCATACGCATATGTAATCCTAATACTTTTGTTTACTTCGTTTAATTGTTCTGTGCAGCTATCAGTACCAATAATAGTTATCTGTCGAACGCCATCATAATGTTATATCAAGAAATCAATGAAAAAAAAAAACTTTTTCATCTGGATCTTTTTTATTCGTATAAAAAATATGCCATTTATTAAAAAACACGTCTTATTTTTTTTTTTCAGTAACTCAACTGCAAAAAATAATACCACTGCAGTACCAACGACGACTAGCGGCGAAGAACGTGTTGCATCATGTCGTTCACCGTCAGAAACTAATGCAATAACATCGGAAAATAACGATACCACTATTCCAGTACGTCTTGAAGAATCTGTTTTGAACGACAACAACGTCAGCATTCCAGCGCCGATTACACCAGTACCAAATTCAAGCACAAATTCTACGAGTTCTGTTATTAGTGGTGTTAGCTCTCCACCTCATTCAACTTCATCATCATTCCCGAATTCATCAACAAGCCCACGTTCGGAGTCTGTTCCGACTACTCCACGCTCGACATTTTGTCGTGCGCCTGGTCTTGGACCAATTGCGCTACCAGAAGGCCATACAGGTTCGCAACATCCATTAGTTTGTCAAATTTGCGGGTTTTCCTGCAATTCTAAATTCCACTATAACTCTCATATGAATACTCATGGTGACCATCAGTGTACAATGTGTGATTATACTTCAAGAACGGAAGGGCGTCTAAAAAAACATATGAGAGACTCACACACTGTTGAGCAACAGATTGCTGCCGGACTTGAAGTTGATACTAGTGCGAGAAGTGCAACACCAAGTACAGCAAAGACATCTTCAGCTTCAGCTAGTCTTAGTCTTGCTACATCAATGGCATCATTATTGGAGAGTGCAAATTTGGCTGCAGCAGCTCAAGCTGCGCAAAATGCATTGCAATCACCAGATACATCACCTTCATCAGTGACCGACGGTTCATCAGACTCAGCTGACAAATCCAGTAGTGGGTTACCTGCTGATGATACTTCACCAAATGGCTCGTTATTGCCACTGGACCAAATGAGAGCCCTAGCCGATAATCCAAGTTTAATATCTGACCTTGCGTCATCAAACCTGGCAACGGCTTTGATGAGTCATGGAATTCTGGGGGCAAAGCAGTCGTTTTTGGATTCAGTGAGTTCGTTCCAACGTGAAGAGCCGTCAACTAGTGGTTCGAGTGGTGAGCGACGAAGTGGTAGCGGCAAACCAAAAACATATAAATGTAAACAGTGCAATCAAGTCAGTACATCGAAGGAGGAGCAGTGGGTCCATGCTCGATCTCATATCCCGGCTGAAAAGCGTCTCGAATGTAATCGATGCGGTTTTGTTACCGAGTATAAACATCATTTGGTTTGTTTTTTACACATTGCTTTTTAAATATGTTTTTACTTTTAATGAAAATATTGTTTCCAATGTTATAAATGTTTATTTATGTCCTATTTCAATTAACTTTTTCTTCTTAAAAAATTATGTGAAGGCTTAACTTTTGCTATCAGGAGCGTTTTTAAACCGTCGTGATGCTGCAGGTTTTCTGTACCACTTGACTTCTTTTTGCTTTTTTGAATTTTTTAAAATTTTTGAATATTGCTTAATGAGATGCTTTCAGTTTAAATACTTTTTGAAACAGTTTATGTTTTGGCCTTACTTAGCGCGCTTTTGTAAACTTTTAGACAAATTTTTGTTTCTATTTTTCAATTACATTACACAGTTAATTCTGATTTTAAAGTTTTTAAGTTGCATTTAGTAACTACTAGTTAATGAAATCCTTGTTGTTGAAACTTTGACTTTCTTTAGCGTTTACGGCGCAGAAAACTTTTACTAGAAAATTGATCATTTATCAGTTTCAAGTAACTCGAAGAGAATTCTTGAAGAATGAATTTTAAAAGTTTTGTTATATTGCGGTTTCTAAACCTTGGCACCTTTTCGCTCAAAGCTTATTTTGAAGTATTTTTACTTAGAGCAATAATTGAACTTGTAGAAATTTGTTCTTACTGGTAAGATACTGTTGATCCAGTGGTTACTACCTGATTAGAGATTTAGTTTTATGGAAAAAACATGAATTCTTTTAGACTGTAGAATTTGAAACGTTATCTTCAGTAATTTCATAAACAGTTCGCGTTTCAGGAGTACCATTTGCGTAATCATATCGGCTCGAAACCTTTCCAGTGCAAGAAATGTGCCTATGCTTGTGTGAATAAATCGATGCTCAATTCACATATGAAATCTCACACCAATGTATACCAGTTTCGTTGCCGGGATTGCAGTTATGCTACAAAGTATTGTCACAGTCTTAAGTTGCACCTCAAAAAGTACAATCACAACCGGGCTGGTGATGCCAATGATGGAGCGGGTCTTGATGCTTCGAATGGTAATTGCATTTCGTTTTATACCAACTTGTTGAAGCATGAGACACTTGTTTTTCAAGTTTTTTTCCTGGTTCGTTAATGCTTCTCGATTTGTGTTTAACTTTTTGCTCTATAGAAGGTTTACGGTAAGAGAATTATGAACGTGGAAAACTTTAGGAGAATTAAATTCTGAAATGAAGCACCCACAATTGCTTAATTGGATCTTTAAACGATTACATGTTCCGATTTTAATGCTTTGTTTAGATTTTTCAGGGTCATTTGACGGTGATGATGGCTCAGGGCGTCGCCTGAGTGAATCTTATAGCACTGGTGGCGACGAAGAACGTAGTCCAAGCCCACAGGGTACGATACAGCAGTCAATCGCCAACGCTATGGCCTTAACACCTATGGTTACTCAAAATTCGTTGAATTTGTCCCAGCTTTTGTTACAACAACAGCAGCAGCAACAACAACAACAACAGCAGCAACAACAACAGCAACAGCAACAACAACAGCAACAGCAACAACAACAGCAACAACAGGTATTTGAATACTTGCAGACAGCGTAATTTTTTGGTCCGTTGGCCGTCTAGTTAAATTGTTTCCTTTTTAAAATGGTTTGTGAACAACCAAGGATATTGTTTCAGACGGAGCAAATAGATGCAGTGAATGCTTTGAATGCAGTAAACGCTGCTATTCGAATGAATGCTTTACAGTCAGTTAACGCTGGAACAGTACTTCCACCACGATGTCAGCTTTGTCCTTACCAGCCGATTGGTGTCGATGATAGTCTTAGACACCAAATGATGCATATCATTACTGGTCAAAATGATTTGAGCAGTTCAATTGCTGTGCCCACTGCAATCCATCCAAATAAATCTATGTATGTTTTTTTTTTCTAGCTATTGTCATTCGACATAGTTTTGCTTTTTTGTAGCGTCTTTCGTCTTTTCCCTGTTTCTGGAGCTCCTTGATTGGAAAGAATTGTTTAGATTGAATGGGCATGCTGAAGAAGGGAAATCTGTAGAAAGCAACAGCTTCGAAGAGCATGAAGATGAAGAGAACGAACAACCGACAACAACAGCAGATGACGAAGAAATTGCAATGAGTGATGATACAGGCAAATCTGGTTAGTTTTTTTGCATTCTTAATGTTTTATTCTTGTTTTAACTGCTTCAGAAGGTTGAAGCTGTTTAGCTTGTTCTTTTCGGTTATATCAATAGAATGATTTTTGCAGATGAAGCGCAAGATTCAGGCGACTCAGGAAAAAGCAGTGGCGACGAGAGGTTATCACCTGTAGGTGAAGCTGGTGACAAAGGAGCGCGTAAAAGAAAAGCTGGTTTAAAACTGAATCAGATAGCTGCTAGACTGCAGGAAAAGCATTCACCAGGAGCTGAGGACGATGAGGAGGAAGCGACCGAAGTTAAAAGAGAGGTTTGTTGAGGGTTTTTTTTATTCTGCTTAGTAATTTATTCTGTCTGTGGAGTGGTAAAAAATTTTGGCTATAATTTTTTGAACTGTATCGGTTTTAGAGATCCAATGAGAGTGCATCAAATAAAAATGTCCCAAGTACGCTTGCTGCTGCACTTCAGATATCAGCTCCAATTGCATCGCTACCTACTTCGCGCTTTTTCCCTGGTTTAGGTCAGTGGTCAGACAGTTTTAGTTCTTTTGAAAAATTCCTAAACTATTGGATTTAGTAATGCTGATTAATTCAAATTTTTGTGGACCATCTTTTATATGAGCGAATGAACACGTTTTGGAAATTTTAGGGGAAGCCGCAAGAAATTTTGGTCCATTGGAGATTCTTATGTGGTCACTGCAAAATGGTTTCCCAAGATCAAATGCTGTATCAAACTCGCATGGATTGTCGTGGTTATAGAAAGACCAGTTTAACGTTTGAGAGAGTGTGCAATTGACGTGTTCACTGATGTTTTGGTGCAGTAAATAGGCAAGTATGAAAACGAAGCAGTAATAGAGGAGCGGTAGCCTCAGTGAGTGCTGAAGTTTTATTACAGAGATATTTTTTTGCTATATTATATACATCAGGCAAATGAAGTGTGTTATTCGACGAACCTCGTTCTATCTTCTTTCTCTCATTTTTTATAGCGTTTCTTATGTTTTTTTTTTTTTGCGTCAATCGTCGTCATCACTGTCGAAGAGTGTTATTCATTTGAAATTGTTCTCATCTAATCATATCGTTTACCTCTTGTTTTTTTCATTTTTGCTTATTTTATCGGCTCTTTCTTTTGCTGTTTTTTTTTGTTGGATGTTGTACATAGTCGAAGATAACATTCATACCTTGTGCCAGTCATTCATAGTAGTTTGCTTTGTTTTGTTTTCTCCTCAAATTTTCTACGTTTTCGAAAAGAGAAAAGAAATAATTCTGACGTGTTCTACCTCTGATTTTAGTAGTTATTTCTTATACATTGTGATCCAACTGTTAATTTTGTGTTCTCAATGATGTTTATTCTTTGATTGTTTGTTTGTTTCCTCACTTCATTTTCAAGTTCTCTTACATTGTTCACCTCGGAACTGCATGATTCTGTCAAACCTCCTCTATCTCTCAGTAGTTTTGATTTTTTTTTTTTACATAGGCTACCTCGAATAGCTATATCTTTACCTCATACCAGTTTTCTATTTGTTTCTTTATTTGAAATTTCTTTAACTCTTTTTAAAACTTTATTTAGGGCTTTTTGCTGGGCTTTTAGTATGATAAGAAAAGAAGAGAAAGGAAAAAGATAATATGTATTAGTGAAACCTTTTAAATTCGGTTGATCACAGGTGAATGTGTGTAGAAAAGAAGAAGAAGAAGAGAAAACAAAAAATTAAGAAGAAAGACCTGACATTTTTTTGTTTTGTTGCTTAATTTTAATTTAGTTTCAATTTATTTGACCGACAGTAATTTCGGGTAGTTCAGCGTCATCTCTGACAAAAGACTTTGTTTGTTTTTCAATTGAATTTACAAGGTTTCAACGATATTTTCAGGCATCAGTTTTGTCTTTTGTCTTGTTTTTTTTTTTCATTTCTCGACAAGACATAGAAACCCATCAGAGAAATGGTATATTAGAAAGAAATCCTGAATAGACTCAAGTCAAAAGCATTAACTTAGTGTTAATTTCTTCTAGTAGATTTGATATTGAATCGAATGATTTCTTATGTTTTTTTTTGTTTAAAGTCTTTTTTAGAATGCTGATTATAGCTTATTGTTGATTTTTTTTCTGTTCCCCAACACTCCTCAGTCATTTGGAGGGGATGATAATAGGTTTTTCTGAACAAGTAGATTTTTTTTCTTTTTGAAAGAGTAAGAAAGCAGGAAAAAAAGGGAATTTTTGGGGAGTGGTAATCCAACAAAAATTTTTAAGGGGAGGGAGGAAAGTATCACTGGATAAACACATTCTCGGAAAACGGTAACCTCAAGGATCTTGTAACTGCGTTTTTCGTCCTCTTTTCTTTTGTTTCACTCTTGGGAATACTCAGTTTTTAAAGCATCTCTACCTCATTGTTAAGTAAGTAAATGTGCGCTGTTTTATACGGTTACACTGTTCACTCAGGGAATTTGTATCGTTGAAACCGATACCAATGCCAAATTTTATTTTTAATCTTTTTTCCCTTCTTTTTTTCTTTTTCTTTAATTTCTCTAATTCAACCTCCGTTTTCTTGGTCATAAAAGACAAGGTTTTGTTAACTTTCTACCTTACTCGACTAATAATAATAATGATAATAATAATGGTAATGTTGATAATAATAATAATAATAGTAGTAGTAGTAGTAATGATAATAAAAACAGTTGTTTCTTGAAACGTTTCATTCAGTGTGCATACTGCCTCTACTCTGCTACTGATGTTAGGCGGTGCCAAGTATTTTTGTTCCATGTTTTCTTTATGAGATGTTCATTCAGCAAAATTATTTTCCTGGTATCAAATACAGGCGTTAATTTCTGCTTGTTTTTCGTCAAAGCTGTAACCATACTTCGCCGTTGTTTTTTCTTCAACTTTCGGTTTTCGGTTTTATTTTGGACCTGTTGATGTAAATGTATTTTGCTGGAAAAGAACATTTAGTTGTTTCTGTTCCTTCCTTCCTGTTCCCTGCTGTTCCCCAGAAGGTTGCATTTCTGAAATCAAAAAAGTCCTCTGATTGCGTTTGTATACCTCCTTTTTCTAGATTTCTTTTTTTTCTTTCTAGGGAAGTAAAGTTTCTGCTATAAATAGTTGGATTTTTTTAAAGGTATCTCGAGCTTTTTTGGATAAGGACATTGTCCTTCAAAATCTGAGACTAACAGTGTAGTAACTGTATAGCAGAGACAGATGTTACTGTTTGCCAAAAACCGCTTGCTCCTTTTAGTTCGTTCACAGGAAGCCAGAGAACTCAAGTCTTTTTACCACGCGAGTAGTAGGATCAGTTCACATTTTTCAACTGAGACTTTTGCAGGTCTTCTCTTCTCTTTCAAATGTATTTGCACATGTTTTTACTTGATTATTCGTTGTTGACTTTCCTTATTTTGTTCACGAATATAAAATATGCTCAGGTCATTCTCTTGAAACGCTCGTTATATCAGCGTAGTTTCAATTTGTCTTTTGCAGTTTTTTTTTTCACCATCAATGAGCCTAGATTATCTCGTTGACTTTAACTACCTCAGTAAGTGTTCTTTAACTTTTCTATTCTCGGTAGTGGGAACCAGATAAAAAAGAATTGCATTTCTTCCCAGTTTCAAGGGGGCAGAATATTTGAGCGGCATTCGAATCCTCTAATAAGTCATGCGGTATTACATAGTTTTCTAGGCATTTCAAAAACAGACTGGAAAGGGATGCATAATAATTTCTGAGTCAAATTTAACGACTAGGTAAGAGTGGTATAGAGAAAAATAAAACGATAGCTACAAGTGGTACGTGAGCATATAAATTGTGACTGGTGACAATGTTTCAAAATTACCAAATAAAAACTTATATGCAGATTATCAGTATAACTTATCAAATGAAAGACAAAGAAAAAACATAAATTTTCTGGGACAAACTAAGAAAATCATACGCAGAAACGTCGCGAACACTCCACAATAGCAACATGTTATTTTTCCATGACGCTCAGAACCCGAACTCCTTAGTTATTAATTTACATCATTTTGGACTGCCCTCACTATCGGAAACGATTAATCTCCAAATTCTGATAATTCAGCATTATAACAATCTAATTAACTGCGACTCAAAAAGTATAACCGGAGGATGACAAGAACGAATGAGAAGTTATAACAGCAAAATCCGAACACTCCCCTAATAAAGAATCAAATGTAATTGAACAACATAAGAAATCTAATGCAAAAAATGAGATACTTTGTAATAAAGGTAAGGTTAACTAATCAATGCAGAAGACGAGGAATGATACATCAACTAACACATAATGGCACCTTCATACAAACCCGAAATTTTGCGCCTCTTTGATGGCCGTCAATAGTTTTGACTTCAAAATCTTCTTACTGGAGTACAGTGGGACGTATAACCTGCAACGGCAATTTTTTTATCAAGGAGGTAAACTTGGATAGGAGATGAGAAGTAAGCTACTCCTGTTATACATGAACCATCGATTCAAACTTAGAAATCTGAAGTACTTCTCTGAAGATTAAAATACTGAGAATGATTACAATTACCTTGATATACAGGTATTAGCAGTAGGTAAATGCTGGTCATCAGCAGGCCGCACAAGAACAGTAGGCATTGGCTGAAAACCTTCTTCACTAGCGGGTAAAGAAGGGGAACCCGTCCAAAAGAACATAAGATCCTAAATATAAATTTCCAGTCCAAAGCTTCAATATTAATGCTCCCGACGTAAAGACTGATTAGGGTCAACAATGCAAAGAAGCACAGGCAGTATTTTTAATGAAATGAGGAAACAGATGACTAGTCCTATTTCATAATTTTTTGTGTTTTTGCTTGAGAGTGCAAACTTACGCATTTAAACAGAACAGCCCTTCTATTAAAAGCAATAAAATGCGTAACTAAAACCCAAACCTGTTTTTCCTGAGAATTTAATTTGCCACATATCGACCAAAACCACGTTTTAAACTTTTGCAGTAGCGCTGGGGCAGCTGAACTTTCATCCAAAAATGATGTGTAACTTTGCATCAGCGTCATAGAAATCTAAAAATAAAAACAACACTTACCCGGCAAATAAAAATTAGCAACGAATCTTTTGATTCAAATGGCCGTTTCAATCTAACAAAATAAATCACTTCTTGAGTCCCACAAAGTAGCAGCCTGAGGTCTTCTGCAGTCAAATTTGCCAAAGATCCCACAGGAATGACGTCAAAAACACCTTGTTTTATAGCCTTAAAAGTCAAAAATCTAAAACTGTCAAGGCAGACACAAAAAATAGTTTTAAAGAAACAATAGAATACTTAAAATGACCTCAAGACACTTCAGATGTGTACCCAACATCCGCGCCTCAACAAACCGGTAGATGTACTCCACAATGTTTTCCTGAGTAACCGCTGTTCTCGAACCACCCGGCTTTAATTCAATTACTCCACCTCCCTAAAAATAATTGCTTTTTACACACTTCTACGTGAGTAAAGTCCTTAAAAGAAGAATTCAGTTTTTAATCAACAAGTATAGACTGAACCACCTAATTAAAAATGAGAAAATCAACTTGATTTGTAAAAAGCAAATGAAACTGGCTCAACAACAAATATCAGTAGCTAGTTCCATGACAATCAATTATTGCAATTTACTTTGGTCGGGTAAATGTGGAAAAATAAAACTAAACTGAAATACCTCTTCCGAAGGAAGATTCACTTCAAAGGTCAAAAACAGTTCCTTTATTTGGTCAGCACGAACAGGGCCCTCATTGTACACTAAGGATCGTAAGGACTCAAACAATGCTGGGTCGTAAAAAGCCAAATCATACCAATTGATAGGACGCCCAAGAATAAATTTTAATACGTGCCGACAAACAGGGAAGGGGAAGATTTCCATTTGTAGCAAACAAATTCCAATCATTCTGGAAAAATTATTGAAAAAGACCATACTCACGAAACAAACAGTGATAAAAAGGGAGATAAAGATAACAACAAATCTGTCTTGCCTTCCTACATTTCGGAATGCATTCAACCGATGCGGGCTATTTTTTCCAGCGATAGGTGAATAGTAACCACTTTTACCTGTCTGGTAAAACAAGGGGGCTAAATCGTCATCGCCATTTGTTGACTGTGACGTTCCTGAAAATTAAAATACTGCCATGCTGAAAAATGTGAATTTCAAAACAAACGCACCTTGCAGGTTAGGGGTGCTTACAGTGCGACCAATAGAAGGTACTTCTTCGCCAGTATCAGTCCGCCCAAAATTCATTCCTAAGCCTGATTCAGAGTGCCCATATCCAGAAGCAAGCAGTAATTCATTGGCTTCCTCCACCAAGTTTCTAAGCATATCATCATTTGCAAGAATAGTTACTAGCTGCTGAGGATGTAGCTCCAGCAACATACCAGCTATCTTATTCCTCCAACGCTGCAAGAGAATAAACGTCCTTGCTTAACACTTGTAAAATTCTGCTCATTTTAGATAAAACAACCCATCTTAAATTTCCTTACCGGAATTATTTCATTTACTTTTAGGAGGAGGCGCTCTCCGAGAATTGTTCTTTCCGGGACCCATAACGGTGGACGAAACTCGCTATTCATCTGGTCGCCGTCACTGCGAGAAGGATCAGATGCCTCATTAAGCTGTGGATTTTGTTGCGAATAATATGGCACGGAATTGACAGACAGCGTGTAACGTCTAAGTAGTAAAGGAATCGTAAACATTTTTTCATAGGAAGCAAAAGTTTCATAACGACAGGCAAAAACTACTGCTGGGGAACAGCGCCAATGAAAAAGTCTACCTCATAGACCGCCTTTCTCTTGCCAGCGCTTGACGAGCGAATGAAGAGTCACTTCCAAATCCATGCCCTCGGTCTCGTGCAGTAGTCCTTCCCGAAGTCCTTGCACCTGAAATTACTGGAAGATAGTTCAGGAACCTCATGAAAGAAAGATTGTTTATTGCCATTTAAAGTCAGTAAGGAGAGTTGCTACAGTTAAGCGGGCTTACTTGTCTCCGTTGGATTCGTCGACGCTGTTGAAGAACCGAATGCTGATAAAACTTGTTGTTCACCAGGGAGAGCTTGCATATTTAAAAATGCATCTGCAACGGCAGTAAAAAAGCTACGAGCGACTCCTGTACCCTCACCGGGTTCATCTTTAAAGGTGACTTTGACCTAAAAACAATTATCTGTTAGTAGAACAAATAAACCAAATTTGAAACCTAATTCTAAACTAACCTTGTGACAAGCAAGGGGTGGATTGCTGCCAACAGCACCATTTTCTTCCTGTGTAGCATTTCTCCAAACGGAGCTAATACCAGTAAGTCGGACGTTTCTCGAGGTGTTTGAAACATCACGAAATAACGATGCAGCATTCTCGCCGCTGTTCTCTTGCGAAGAAGAAGTTGAACTTGAGACTGTTCGCCGCGAATAATGGATGTTCAACTGCCGAATAGTCTGCGCAATTATTTCGAGTTTACCTCTCTCGACCTGTGAGAAAACATTTTATGACAAATCCAAAATTAGCCTTCAGACCAAAAAACAAAGGATGTAAAACAGTTACACAGTTACCTCAAAGACTAAATCTTTGGTTTGTGCTGCTTTAAACTTTTCCATCTTCCTACGGAACTGAGATTCTCGAATAGGGAAACCCGCCATTTCAGAAAGTAAAACCGAACAACTTGCTTCACCTCCACAACCAGACAAAAGTAGTTCGTGATAAGCCTAAACAGCCCAATAATCTGCAGCTGCTTACAAACAAGTTTTAAATTAGCCTTTGAAGATACAGCAATAAACTCTATAGTAAGAAAAACAGCCGTTCAAACTAAAGACTGAAAGAGAAGAGT